GAAGGAGTGTCTCGTTTAATTTCCACATATTTATCTTATTTTGCTCTCTTCCCCATGCTAACTTCATTGTAACAGGAGAGTGGTCTGATAATGTTATAACTTCTACTTTAACCAATGACTCCATGAGTCTATAGTCCAACATTATATAATTAACCTCGAATATGTCTCGTGTGCATGAGAGTAGAATGTATAGTCCCGGTCTCTCAGATATTTAATTTTCAAGGCATCCACTAGTTGACAGTGATGCAGCATACTCCGTTTAGATTTCAAGGGCTCATTCCCCACTCTTTGCACAAGCGACGTCGTGTCAATCCGAGGGTCCATACAAAAATTAAAATCTCCTGCCACCATTAGTTTGCCTTTTTTAAAATCTAGGAGCTTTCTCTGGATATTTTTTAAATAAACCTCTGGTTTTCTATTAGGACAATAGATGTTTGCCAATGTGCATTCTATTTCCTGTATAGCCCCTAAGTTTGATGTTCCACCATCTTGTCTCTCTTAGCCAAAGCCCTTCCATCTTAAGAATCAGCATCCATTTTAAAAGAATTGACTTTCTTGTTTTAAACGGTATTTTGTCAGGAGTTAAGAAGTTCCTCTTTTTTTCTTGTCCAGGTGCAACTTCCCCTTTTTCCCTTAACTAGCCTAAGACTGAAAGTCTGCGGTGAGCTACATCCTGTTGAAAGTGTATTAATAATTTTAAGCCAACGGTAAAAAAGGAACTGTCTGCTTTCTGAAGGTGTCCGAAAGTTCAAGCATTGACGTATATACTAATAATTAACATATATGCCAACTGATTGGGCATGAGTGACGTATGTAATATTCTAATTGGTTAAATGCATACCTGTCAATTGATTGGTTCTTATATTTCTATGCTTTGTTTTAAGTTTCATATATAAGTTTAAACACGGAAGAATAAATTCAGTTCATTCTGAGATACTACTTTGTGTCTGTCTGCCATTCCTTTGTGTCTCAGGTGAACTCCGGATCCGTTGGTAATTGTTGGTCGATGCCACGAGGCTGACGGAAGTCAGTGCAAGAAGGGAACGAGATTCAATTCCTTTCAATTGGGGGCTCGTGTCCGGGATGAGATAATCACCCTTTTTTGGTAAGTAAGATTTTTTGTCATTTTGCCAAATAGTCTCTTGCCGGAAAAGCTCTGATTGAAATCTCATGCCCTAAGGTAAGCACTGGGCTTCGCGTCTTAAGACGTCAGTGGCCAGGCGCAAAAAAAAAGTGCTGTGGGGAGCACAAAGGTCTTTTGGAAAAGACTAGAGGCAGTTTTGGGAACTGCACAATTTCTTATAAGAAGAGATTGGAAAAGAGTTTCTCTGAGAAGAAACCAGGAAAAGCCCGGGGTTGACCAATAATTCACCTGCAAACCTTTGCTTTTCTTCCTATCGCATAGAAGTATAAGATAATTTGTTTGTGTGACACAAGTGCCCAGTTGGTAAGTGTATGGGCCAGTGGTCACTGAAGGTATTGTCAATTTCCGTGTGACATGCCCCACCCCACACAGATAAGCCTTATTGGTTGATGATCTGGGTGAGGTGATTGCGTGGTAACGCCGAGTTGGGTGCCTATGTAAATGTTTTGTTTAAATTGTGTTGTAAGCTAGAAAAGATTGGCAGAATATTATTAGAAAGTATTGTACACCCAGGTTATAATCTTCACTTTTATCAGTCACTAGAGAAAGACTAGAGAAAGTATCTTAGGTCCAGGCATTTTTATAGGATAAATTGTCATTACAGCCTATAGGACAGATTTGTGATACAGATATATTCAAGTGTAAGATAGATAGAGTAGGAATAAGCCCCCTCTCCCAAAAGTTGGTGAATCGTGTATAGATTATGTAGCCAGTAGTGGGAATAATTCTTTAATTCTCCCTGGGTAGATAAAAGAATGGAGGTGGATCCATTTCCCTATAGTGTATAGATTATGTAGTTAGGGGTATCTGTGGGAAACAGTCATTTATTCCCATTAAGGTATTGGACATCCCTGGGTAGGAAAAATAAGCGGCAAAAGAGGCGGAGCAGAATGATGCAGTGAATACATTTAATGGTCAGAAATAGACAGATCCACACACACCCTCTCATGATCCATTTCCCTATAGGTTATCCCACCCTTACAGAGGAAATTGTTGACAACCACTGCAAATCCCATTCCCCCTGCACCCCCCACATCACCAGTATTAATATCTGCACAGACACACCAAATACCTAGTGCAGTTCAGATTTCTGCCACACAGCCTTCTACAGTTCAAGCTCCCGAGGATTCTCAGAGTGTAGTTCAGACTTCTGCCACACATGAAGCCGCAGGGAGAATTGTTCTCACTCCAATTACTGAGGAGGATTTATTTTTTGAAGAATCCTCTGGTTCAGGTCCCTGGTATTAAGGGAGAGTGATAGTCTGGATGTAACAGACATCCCGAGTTCACCACTTGAAACAGTATGTGGAGAGGATTCGCTGAAAAAGTGGAAAACTCTCTATAAGAACAGGTGGGAAACCCACCGACATTTTTAAAGCACCACCTTTTTCAGTTTTTTTTTTTGTTTTGCTGCTAGAGCATTTATTCAAAATCATACCCAATTGTCCAGTTGATTTGTTCTCTTGGGAAAGCTTAGTGTTAATCTAAAACTCTGGGAAAGGAGGTATTGTAGCTTAATCTGCCGGGATACCAACTGTCCCTGTTATGACAGTGTTTATTGAAATATGACCCCTCACTCTCTGCTGAAACAATATAAAGTTTGAGCGGACAGTTCCTTGGATGTGGGATTCATTTCCTGCATTCCAATACAAGGCCACACTGTGTTTCATAGATAAGGCCCTTTTGTTTAAAATACAGGAGGTAAGAATAGTGTCCGTGGTGGAGAATTTGTTTCAAGGCAAGAATCCTTGGAAAGATGATTTCACCATACAACAGCCCAATAAATCTAGTTGAGAAGCCAGACGGTTCTTACAGATTTGTGCAGGACCTGAGTGCTATAAATGTTCTTGTAATTCTCATTGTCCCAATAGTACCTGACGTACCAATACTCATTTCCTCCATCCCACCTGATGCCGAGTTGTTTTTTTTTTTACGGTGATTGATTTGACAAATTGTTTTTTTTTTTAGCAAATTCCTGTTGTTAAGGAGACATGGCTAATTTTTGCCTTTAACTTTAGAAGTAAAAGTTTTATCTGGAATGAATTTCTCCAGGATTATACTGTAGTCCTCCAGGTCCCAAGCCATGAACTCCTAGCCATGGTTTAGTTGGTTTCAGTGCGGACAGCCAGCCAGGTGGAGTGTGTATCTTATATGTGATCATAAAGTGTCTAAGCAAAGTTATAATGGTGTTAAGAAACTGTTGAATACCTTGGTTTTGTCCTCACAAAAGGTGATAGGATTTCAGTCACAAAGAGAGCTGCGGCTCTTATGGGTCTGCCCCGCCCATTGACCAAGAAAGACATGCTTACCTTTCTTGATATGATTGGTTGCTGCCGCCAATGGATACCTGACTGTTCCTACTTTGACAGTATTTTGAGACAAACCACAGGTTTAGAAATGTCAGATCTTGTGAAATGGTTAATTGAAATGTGTAATGTTTTTGTGTATTTGAAACATGCTATGGTAATAACCCCTGGTCTTGGTCTGCCCGCATATGATCAAATGTTTTATCTGTATGCTAGGGAAAATTGTAAAACTATGTCGGGAATCCTGGCTTGGGGAGCATGGAGGTATACTCCGCCCTTTTGTTTTGTTTTTTCTCAAAGATGGTTCTGGTACAGGTTCAAGGCATGCCTGTGTGTCTCAGAAGTTTGCTATTATTTGTGATGGTGATTCAAATGGCTATGTCATTTACTCTTGGACATGAGACCACCTTACACACCACCATTTAGTGAATATGAGGTTATACTGTTGTTAAACCCCAAGTTGAGAATAAAATATATTCCTCCCACTTTAGATCCTGCTCCAATTTTAAATGTCACTGTTAGATCAAATATTGCAGTACATCTGCTACTTCTAAAAGATATTAAGTGGAATGTAGTTAGTGTGACCAAAGTTCCACTAACTGGACTTTGTGTCACAAGAGGGGAGACCATGTATTCTAGAAGCTAGTGCACCTCTGTTCATCTTACAGTATCATGGGGTAGGTCACAGCTCACAGTATTATGGGATAGGTCACAGGGGATGGCAGGTTACATGTGAACTGCTGGATTTTTTTTTCATCCCTGGCCCCCCCTTTTATGGTAAAATCATATGTGTCTAGATGCATTACATACATTAGGAACAATCCTCACAAGACAAGACATTAACATTTTTTATCCGCTCACAGGTAGATTTTACACACATGCCAGAAGTAGGAAAAGGACAGGAATATTTTTTTGGGTAATTGTGGATATGTTTAGCCGCTAGGTGGAAATGTCCCTCAGAGTTCAGGTATAGAGATAAGGATGATTCCTTCTAAGAAGACAGGTTACCCCCCCCTTTTTAGGTTTTAATGGATAGGTTTTTTCCCACTCCCTGGGCCAGACAGCCACTCATGGTAGAAAGAGGGGATTTGGGATTGATTCAGGAAGAATATGTGAGAAAGTTTATTGAAACTTTGGACAAAGTTGAAGGAAATGTTGCTGGCACTTTTTTTTCTTTTTTTTCACAGGAACCAACTTGTTTCCGTGATCGCTGTCACTAGGACCGCTGTTCTGACTGAGGATTCCAAGGCCTGGATCCATGCCAGCCGTGTAAAAAGGGTGAACCAAGCCCCTAAGAAGCAAGACAAAGGCAAAGACACAGATACAGAAGAAGCAGCCAGAGAAGTCCTGAGAGATTGATCTGAACTACATGGAGTGCTTCGTCAGCCCTGGAAACTTCAACCCATCCAAAGAACTTGAACTGAATGAATCTATAGCAAATGACAAACAATTCCAAATCCCTCAACAAGCCAACCCAGGTGAAACCTTGCATCAAAGGTTCTATGGCCTTTGGGTGGCGTTGCTAATTATTAACTCTTTTATTTTTTTTGATGGGCATAATACTGAACAGTTTGGCCCTTTATGTGTTCTGTTTTCAGACCAAAGTAAGGACACCCTCTGTTATTTACACCATTAACTTGGTAGTGACAGACCTCTTAGTGGGTCTCTCTCTACCAGCACGAATTGTTATGTATTACCGTAATGTAGAGACCTGTTATATCTGCTATTATGTTCACAGTTTTACGTATTCTGTGAACATGTACTGTAGTATTCTTTTCCTGACCTGCATCTGTGTTGATCGCTACCTGGCCATTGTGCAAGCCAGAGCCTCATGCAGATGGAGAAATCCCAGTTATGCCAAATGCATCTGTGTTTTGATTTGGATATTTGCTGTAATTGTAACTTTCATCATACTGACCACAACGATTAACCACAAACATTGTTGTTTTTTCCAGCTACTTATGCTGACAGGTTTTGAGTATTTTGTTCCCTTGGTGATTGTTGTTTTCTACACCCTGCGGATCATGTGGACTTTGTCCAAGTCAATACAAATGAACCAAAGCCGAGAGAGAGAGAGACGGGTGAAGGCGGTACAGCTCCTCATAATGGTGCTGGTCATCTTCACAGTCTGTTTCACTCCCATTCATGTTAGTCAAGTGGTTTTCTGTGTCCGCAGTGAGGTGTCTCGGGATGTCATCCTCATTGTGTACCATGTCACAGTAACTTTGAGTAGTTTTAATAGTTGTATGGATCCCATTGTTTATTGTTTTGTTACTAGCCATTTCCAATCCGCTAGGAATAGTATTTTCAGAGAACAACCGCCACCAGTTCCTTTTAACAGTCCCTGCCCCTGCCGTAGGCAGCTCGCCCTGGGGGCTAGGAGAATACAGGAGTAATGATGCAATCAAAAGATAGATTAGGCATTGAGACTGGTTCCCTTCTTTTTTCAGGAAAAAGAAACTAATATGTTCTGTCTAATTAGAGTGTACAAAGATAATATCACTGAGAAGGAATGTACTGATTTGGTTAAGAAAATTCCCTGTTACCAGATTATATAATTTACTTTTAAGTCTCTAAACCAGTATCAGGAAATTTTGCCTGATTTGAACATAGTAATGTTGTTACAGAATTTGTATTATATGGGTACAGTTTAGCGGGAATGTAAATTGGGTTAACTACATTGGCTATGGTTAACAAAAGTTTGGTAGAACCATACTGTTTTGATATGTTATTAGCTGATAAAGGGAAAGTATGTAAAATGTTTAACTCCTGCGGTTGTACTCTTATTCCCCATAACACTGTTTCTGATGGAAGTATTATTAGAGCCCTTCACAACCTCCAAATATTGTTTGAAGAATTAGCTGAAAGCTCAGGAGTAGAAAATCCACTGGTCAGTTTATTTGAAACCTGGTTTGGTATATGGGGAACCCTGATTACCTACTAAGGGCCCCAGGTACCAACCTGTGACTAAGGTGTAAGGTCACGTGTGTGACCTAAGAGGGGGTTTGAAGGGATTAGCCCCTAAGTTTGATGTTCCACCATCTTGTCTCTCTTAGCCAAAGCCCTTCCATCTTAAGAATCAGCATCCATTTTAAAAGAATTGACTTTCTTGTTTTAAACGGTATTTTGTCAGGAGTTAAGAAGTTCCTCTTTTTCTTGTCCAGGTGCAACTTCCCCTTTTTCCCTTAACTAGCCTAAGACTGAAAGTCTGCGGTGAGCTACATCCTGTTGAGAGTGTATTAATAATTTTAAGCCAACGGTAAAAAAGGAACTGTCTGCTTTCTGAAGGTGTCCGAAAGTTCAAGCATTAACGTATATACTAATAATTAACATATATGCCAACTGATTGGGCATGAGTGACGTATGTAATATTCTAATTGGTTAAATGCATACCTGTCAATTGATTGGTTCTTATATTTCTATGCTTTGTTTTAAGTTTCATATATAAGTTTAAACACGGAAGAATAAATTCAGTTCATTCTGAGATACTACTTGTGTCTGTCTGCCATTCCTTTGTGTCTCAGGTGAACTCCGGATCCGTTGGTAATTGTTGGTCGATGCCACGAGGCTGACGGAAGTCAGTGCAAGAAGGGAACGAGATTCAATTCCTTTCCCCCCACCTCACCCCCTCGGTCTCCACCCGAATCACACACCTACTGAGCGACATATCAGACTGGATGTCACTCCACTTCCTTAAACTGAACCTCTCCAAAACCAAGTTTCTGGTCTTCCCCCCCCAGCCCGCACACCACCCCCCATTGACTTCTCCATCACATCCAACAACGCCACCATCAAACCCGCCCCGCAGGCCAGAGTACTTGGTCTCATTCTGGACTCCAACCTATCCTTCCAGCCCCAAGTCCAATCTTTAACAAACTCGTGCAGACTCCACCTCCGCAACATCGCCAAAATCTGCACGTTCCTAACCCCAGAAACCACTAAACAGCTCATCCACTCCATCATATCACAACTCGACTACTGCAACTCCCTCCTCACTGGCCTGCCTCGCCGCTAGCTATCCCCGCTTCAGTCGATCCTCAATACGGCTGCCAGACTCATTCACCTTTCCAACCGTTCCGTTTCTGCCACCCCCCTCTGCTAATCCCTCCACTGGCTTCCGATTGCGCAACAGATCAAATTCAAAATCCTAACACTGACGTACAAAGCTGTCCCCCATACTACATCACTGACCTAATATCCAAGTACCGCCCAGCACACACACTCCGCTCCTCACAAGACCTCCTTCTCTCTAGTTCCCTGGTCTCCTCCTCCCATGCCTGCCTCCAGGACTTCTCCAGGGTGCCACCCATCCTCTGGAACGCCCTGCCCCAACCCATCAGATTATCACCTACTCTCCTCCTTTAGGTGCACCCTGAAAACCCATCTCTTCAGGGAAGCCTACCCCACCCCCTGCTAACTTGCCGACCTCCTCCACTCTTCCTACCACTCCATCCCCTACAGCTATCTCCTCCTGTGCCACCATCCCCTCCCTCCTAGATTGTAAGCTCGAAAGAGCAGGGCCCTCAATCCCCTCATGTTTTGCATTGTATTGTTATTGTTCTGTCACATGTTCTGTCCCCCTTTGTAATGTACAGCGCTGAGCGAACTATTGGCGCTTTATAAATACTGTATAATAATCTCTCGTCGATTGCGGAGCTTACCCCTACCCATCTCTCACCCATACCCCTTCCTAAACCCTCCTAGGCATTTAATTTGCCTACTAATCATGTGTGGTCCTAGTCCCACCATCGATCTCACCATGGGTTGGGGCTCTGACCATACACTCCTCTCCATTTATCTCGTCCCCCATGTCCTGCCTTTCAATGAAGAGGAAGAGAGAAAGAACAAAACAAAAACTACACACACCCCTTCTAAATAAACTTTTAGTAAATTCCCCCCCCCCCCTCACAAGATAGGTGTGTGGGGGGGAGGCGGATAAAGTAAATGGGAAGAGGAAGAAAAATAATCAAATATTCCCAATCAGGAATAGCTATTTTCTGTAGATCAAGTCTCACAAAAATCTCAAAAAAAGTCCTCCGGAAATCTTAGTCTTGCCGAAGGGACATTTTTCCATCCGATTAAACAGGCTGGGAATCCCCAACTATATTCGACATGCTGCTTTCTCATTTGTTCTAGCAAGGGTTTTAATGTTCTCCTTATTAATGTTTCTGCTGATAAATTGGTAAAGAACTGTAGATTTACTTCTCCATATTTTATTGCGGTTTGTCCTTTTATCTTTTTCGAGAACTCTGCTTTATCTTAATAATGAAACGGATTAACCACCAAATCAGATGAAAATGCCTGCCTAGGAGGAGGAGCCTGAGCATGGCAGCGGCTGAGGGCTTGGTGTAGGAGCGCTCAGCTAAACTCCTCCACTGACCTCCCCAGGGGCCCACCAAATGGAGTAAGAACCGCGGAGAGATGATACCTGAAAGCTGGGGGTGTCCGGCAGGGGAGCAGAGACATTGAGCTGTCACAAGGGGGGAGAGGTCCGTCCGAAGTCCGGCGGATCGGAGAGCCGGGTTGCCGGGAGATGGAAGAGCGGGTTGGGTCATGTGTCCAACCGCAAAGGAGCACTGGGAGCGGAGGAAGCCGGCCAGTGAGAGGAGAAAGGTAGAAGGCGGCTTTCTGCCCCAAGTGTACTGCTCCCCACGTGTACTGCTCCCAATGTGTACTACTCCCTAGTCGGCTCCTTGGCTGGCTGAGCATAGATCTGAGGACCTGGCAAGAGTCTCTCTGTGGAGGACCTTTATGGAAACAGAGAAAGAAAAAGAGAAGCAGACCTGTGGAATCCCCCCCAAGGTTCAGAGAAGCTGGATACTTGTGCAGAGGAGCTGGAAACCTGAAACCCCTACCTTCTTCACAGCAAGGGATGAGAGACATGGGTGAGTGAAAGAACCCAGAACTGTTTTATTTTAAATGTCCCATAGCGCTGTTGAAGAAAATAAGGGGTGAGGGAGAGAAGGGGGATTCCTGGGGGCTTTTGAAATAATAGAAGAGGAAAAAAGGAAGAAAAGATTAAGCAACTTAAAAGAGGAAAAATCGGTCACTAATTGGGCTAGGACGGGACCTTTATATTTATGTGAACCAGCTATGTATAAAGGAGAGTAAGGCCCATGAAAGAAATGAAGAACAAAAGCAGTAAAGGAAGTGGGCCAAAAGGATCCCAAACAGGAACGATTAAACAGTATACATCCCAGGGAAAGGTGACCCCAGAAAGATCTCAAGGTAAAAATGGAAAGGGTGAAGGGGATACTAGTTTGAAAAGTAGCCCTAGAATATCGCTGGGTTTAAATGTTAGTAGTCAACAAACATTAGGAGCCATGGAGATGAGAGACATTGAAAGTGAACTACAAGTACCAAACAAAAAAGAAATGGCAGAGATGTTTAAAGATCTAGAGAAAATAATAAAACAAGAAATGGCAACTATTCGAAATGACCTGGGGCAGGTGTTGATGAGAGTGGAAGAAACGGAGGAGAAATGTAAAAACCAGGCCCAAAACATCGAGGAATTAGAAAAGAAAATAAAGAATATGGGGAAAATACAGAAAAAAAAAATGATATATAAGATGGAGGTACAAGAAAATTGGGACAGGAGAAGTAACCTTATAGGATAAGAGAGGAGTTCTAGAGAATGCAAAAGGGGAAACACTGCAAGAAATAGTAGGAAAAATATTAAACTCCATAATGGACAGACCTGCCCTAGAGGTGATTGATTTGGAGGAGGTCGTGAGAATAGGAAAGCGCCAACAAGGCACTGGGAAAGAAAAATCAAGGGATATAATTGTTAAATTTAACAAACATGGAGATAAAGAAGCAATCTGGAGAAAGATCAAAGGAAAAGCAGTAATTAGATTTGGAGAAATGGATATCCAGATATATGCAGATCTTACACCTGAGACTCTGTGGAGAAGGAGATCCTTGAAACCCCTTTTAGAGCAGATGAGGAAAAAGAACGTGTTCTATAGATGGGGGATCCCAGCGTGTTTAATAGGATGGAAAGATGGAGTTACAGCTTATTTGAGATTTCCGGAAGACTTGAGAGACTTTTTGTGAAAAATTTGAGTTGCAAAGAATGAAGATTGCCGAATGGGAGGAAGAGGAGAGAGAGATAGGAAAAAATGAGACAAGAGGACTGGCAGTTTGCCAGAGGGATTACGTAGGGAGTGGAGGACAGGGGGGAGAGAAGGATGTGGGATAAAATGTTTTTTTTTTGTTGCTCTCATGTGTGTCTCTCTCTCTCTCTCTCTCCTTTCTTGCCCCTTAGTCTTCTTTATAGAAGGATATTTAGTACGGTTTTCAAGAGGTACCTGGAATTATAATGAGTTAATAAAAGAACGGGTGGTACTGGGGAGGTGGAGCCATCCATGGGCGGAGTTTGACCCTTAGTAATAAT